AAACGAATGAAATTAAATAAAACTCAGATCTCACCAATCAAAATGAAGCCCTCTGATGACGCAGGTAATTTTTCTGACGTCAGTTCCTGGAATATCGTCATAGCCATGAGTACCGTGATGCATAGCGAGATTCTCTCCCCAGATTCCGCAGGTAGAAGAAATGTACAGAAAACCATAGCGGCAATTACAGCACAGGGGAAAACAAGGTTAACAACATAGTGGTATGACCGTCGATGCATGTGTAGTATTACAAGGATATCTGTGTAGGGATACTTGCAGCAGGGATAACGTTTCTACAAACGACAAAAATGTCTGCATATCAATGAATTGATGTCATTAGTGCGGGATACCTGTGCTTTTTAGCTAGTCTTGTGATTTGATCATCGAATCTATGAAATATATGGAAATGAACAAGAGGGCTGGCTCTTGACAAGTCTTTTTGCTATCATATTTGTAAGTTTCAGCCGATTTTAACATTTAAATATTTAGAAAATCCTCCACAACGCCGGGTCCATTCGTACTTAAAAAAATAACTTAATTAGTGTATCACTATACTGATTATCATATGATTATATGAAATTTCTAAATTTCTCACTTAAAAATAAATAAATAAATATTTTTGAAAAAGAAAATAACATGATATATGATAACATCTATATATGGATTTTTTGGTCGTTTTTCCCTTGTGTTGGGTTTAGTCATGTGACCAAAATCTAGAATTCGAGAGGGTAGGTGTAGGGGAGCTTTTTTACCACATGCAAATCAACTTCTTAGGATTCCTGTGTTAAGGCAAAAAAGCTGCCGGAGGGGTAGGGGGGTCTGCAGAATCTCCCGACCGTTTTTCTCGGACAAAATTATCAAGAAAGAGAGAGACAAATCAAAAAGACAATGAAATGTCTGTTTCCACGGGAGTAACATACCAAGGTGGCTGCGGCGCTACCAGCCCCGCCCTTGAATCTGCTGGTAGTGTAAGTGTAAATTATCGAGGGCTAAAAGCTGACTTACCGAGCGCTTTTTCGCGGTGACCGAAGTGACTTTCCACTCATTGTTTTCTTGATAGACTTCTTTATGTATTTTGGTTTCGTTTTGATCGACTTGAAGGTCGATCTTTCTGCTATCGTAAGACCACGAACCGAATTGTAGTTCACAAAACTGTTCATCAAATGGAAAGTATCTTATGTCCATTTTACACATACTCGTAAAGATTGTTGGCGCTAACCATGACTGCATTCCATTGCTCTCGATTTTGATCTTTGTTTTAAATTTTTCTACTCCTCCGGCGGCATCTACTTTTTCATCACCACTGTACAAAACACAAACAAGTCAGAAAATCAATCAGATTCTTGTACTGATAAATTAACCCCAGTTGCGCATCCAGCACTAGTTCACAAGTTTGCATCTTAAAACAAAATGGTTCATTTTCACGGATTTGTTTTATGATGCAAATTGTTGAACTAGTGCTGGATCCGCCAGTGAACCCTTCTCATTTTCCAAAACGAAAAAAAGAGAGACTAAAACAAAGAAGAGAGTATGAAATTGCAATTATTGTGGATCTGATTTTCTTTGGAGAGGTGTAATGCCTCTCCAAGAAAACGAATACAAGAGGAGCAAGAGCAAGAGCAAGAGCAAGAGCAAGAGACTCCACCGACTTCGGTCCACTAACTTGTTGTAGAGAAGTACATCTGGTACCCAGATTCTTCGCGGCTCGACAAAGACGGTGTCGATGTTTCCATAATGTGACTTGTTCCACTTTAGATCGGGATTGTACCATACCTATTATTAGATATACAATGCTAGTTTTGATCAAGAGAATTTCATGCTCTTTTTAGAGCTCTATTTTTTCTTTTATTGCACAACAAAAGAATGTCGGATAAATTAACAAATAAGATATATAATACACAAAACGTGATCAGTTTTGCAACTGGAATAAAATTGTTTGGTTGTTTTAACCACACAGTTTATGCACACAGTGTTAGTGTCGGTCTAACTAACGGTTGATAAACATGATTATCCGTTATATTTTGTGTGGATTTCATCCATTGGATAAGTGTTTATCAATTGCATGATTCTCCCTGGTTCCGTACCCCCAACAAGTTCAAGACTGTTCGCGCTTGTTGAGTGGGAATGTTGATAACTAGTGGAAGGACAAAACACAGTTTTCTCCAAATTGACACCGGTGGAGGTCAAGAATAAGTGTTACAGTTCCTTCAAGCAAGACAGGAAGCCCATACATGATAAAATATAAATAGTCGGTGTCAATACCTGCTTCATCCACCATTGCGCTTTGATAACATTGTTGACTTCTTCCTTTGATTTTCACATTAACATAACCGAAATTAATTTGATTGAATAAATGAAATAATTGATTTGTGAATATTTTTTTAACCGTTTATTTCCCTTTCTTTCAATTTAGTGCTGATATCATATAATATCTATTATAAGTAAAAATAACAAGTAAAAATAACAMATTCGAGAATTTCTCTATATAGTGGGAGTAAGAAAAGAGGTATTTTACGGCACAATTGCTTATATTTAATTATATGATAAACAGAATATTACATGGTTCCTGGGAGATACGAATTTTATCTTCTCGTGTTGAAACTCTCTCACTCGTGAGAGATCTTTTCAACACTCGAAGATAAAATCCGTATCTCCGCGCGCCCATGTAATATCCTCTATTTAATAGGGCAAAAAACTAACAAATGAAGACAAAAAGGGCTCCCAAAGTTAAATTGCATTATTGCAACATAGGCTTCAGTGTTTCTCGTATATTAGTATTTCTTGATGTTCGCTATATTAATCTTATCCTTAATTCTCTTAATATCATAAGTAAGACGACTTACCACTTTGACAAGACGCGCCAGCTTTGCGCCTAAAGTGACCATCACCGTCGAGTTGCCGCCAGGATGGGAATCTTTGTCATAATTGTCTAACAAGTCTTGAATCAATTTGTGCTGTAAAGTGCTAATTTTTGTTGCGCCTGAGGAAGAACGGAGAAGTTAACAATAAAAATATACAACGCAAATCGGAATGGATTATGGAGTGAAAAAAAAAAAAATGAAAAAATGATATGAATAAAATGATAAAAAATGATAATAAAAAAATGATAATAAACTGTATTTGTGAAGCTGCGAAATCTTAACGTTCTAAGGTTCTAACCAATTGAATTACAATATACAAATATTAAAACTAAAATATAAATATAAATATGAACATCTGTGGATATGAGAGGCATAAGATAATAAGTAAGGTAATTAGCCGTCAAGAGTATAAATGCATTTCAAACAACGTAAGAGGTGTAGACATAAGAACGTATATGAGCGACAATCAAATAATGTGAAATGGAAATAAAGACGCAAGAACGCAAAAAACGTAGAACGTAAGATAAAGCTGTTAATGCTAGGACTTCCGAGAATATGATAACATTATTTGGAACACTAAGAAGCTAGCGACGTAAGGACGCAAAGCTCGTGAACGCGATTGAAACGGAGAACGCAAGAGAAGATGGAAAGGTCCACAAAGACGCTTTACATCAAAGACGTAGCTGGACCTACAGGGTGCAAGATGCATGGACGTAAAGATGCAATACGTAAGCAATATAGAATATATAAAGATAAAAACACGAGAGGTAAGAGGTTGCAATGGCTACAAGGCAAGAAACTAGAAACGCAATACGATGAAAATCGATTTTTACTGATTGCTTTTCTGTCTACTGTCCCTATAATTTCCTTTGGTTTCTAGTTCAGACGCTGTGATACCTAATAGCATCAAAAATAGCGCTAATTCTGTTTTTATTGGTATTTTATATCACCCCACGATATCTACCTTTCTATTATAGAACGATTCATTTTATTTCCTGTGGTCCGCGAGACGCTTTCGATTCTAGACAGAATTAATGTTAGTAGAAGAGTCCGCATAACCAAATTAACCATCGTTTTGAGTAAAGCATAAAGTCTACTTCTTTTTATAAAGAATCTATTATATAATCATTTACTATCTAATTTACGACTATGAAAGCCAGACAAAACAAATTATTGGCAAAATTAATGGGCTTTTTGAGGGGCCAGCAAACCCACTAACTCTGTTAAATGGAGCGGGATAATATAGTTCTCAACAAACATCAAATATTTGCCAAAAACAACTGTTTATGCAGAATAAGAGTCCATGATTTAAACATGAATCTGATCAAAAATGATGCCAAACGAATTATTCGCTGTGAAGAAAAACAGTCTTTTTGGAACGTTCTAGTCCTATTTCTGTTCACTTTGGTATAAAGTCGCGAGCAAGAAAATGCTTTCGGGCTCTCTGCACTCGTTTTTCACATTCAATGATTTGGTGTATTATACATTGAATTTGATTTTCATTCTCAAAAATTTCTTGCTTATAACCGGCCACTGGTTTCTCAAAGTTTCTCACTTAATCGATATTTAAAACAAAAGATCCCAAGATTGCGGCCGTATCTGAGAGAAATAGAGGATATTACATGGGTCTGCGGAGATACGGATTTTATCTTCGAGTGTTGAAAMGATTTTCAGCACGAGAAGATAAAATYCGTATCTCCAAGCGACCAYATATTCTGTTTTTATCATATAATTCTCTATGAAATACCTATACTTCTCCATTTCGTAAAGTTGTGAAAATAAGTGAAAATAACACATTCGAGGTTTCTCTATATAGGTGGAAGTAAGAAAAAAGGTATTTTAAGACAAAATTTGCTGTCATATGTAATTATATGATAAACAGAATATTACATGGCCTCTTGGAGATACGAATTGTATCTTCTCGTGTTGAAAATCTTTTCAACACTCAAAGATAAAATCCGTATCTCCGCAGACCCATGTAATATCCTCTATTTCTCTCAGATACGGCCGCCATCTTGAGTTCTTTTGTTTTAAATATCGTAAGAGAAAAACTTTAAGAAACCAGTGGCCGGTTAAAAGTAAGAAATTTTTGAGATCTTTTCAACATTCGAAGATAAAATCCGTATCTCCGTGCGCCCATGTAATATCCTCTATTTTCGTGATAATGCTATGATACCATATGAAACTTCCTGTAATAACAGGAATATTGTAAACTGATTGATATCGGGTAAATAAGGTATAGCCTTTATAACACTACTGTTGTCACTTCCATCTAATTGCATTGTAAAACTGCCTGAGAACCGTACACTAGCTTGTGGAACTGTAGTGTTTCAGGTCTTAAGTATTCAATTGGATTACTTTATTATAAAAAGACTTTTCGAAACTGTAATGTGATGAATATACAAAATCCTCTATTTTTTCTTATAGGTTTCGTTCTCCTAGTAATAGTTGGTTAAGCAGCGATAACATGTCTAAGTATTCAAGTTACTTTATAATGACTTAAGGACAGCGTAAGGAAGTACTTCTGATTCTGATCATCAATTGTTCCGTTTTAGCATAAGCGTTCTTTGTTTTTATCGATTGTTTTATCGATAGCTTTTATTGCTGGTCTTTCACACTGCACTACATTGTAAACACCTACTAATTACGAAAACCTTGTTATCGAGATATACACTTCTCACTTTACTAAGGAATGAATTAAACTGAGACAAAAGAACATTKTCGAACTGATCGATCTTTTTTCTTTTCTCTTAATGTTAAAATGGTATTTTTTAAAGCTCAAACGTTCTATTTATTTTTGCAATAAGGTGTACATGTCTTTTTTTGTAAACTGATTTAAACGAAAAACAATTGTGTTTTCCTTATTTTTGTTGTTGTTGTTTCTATTTGTTTTTTGTGTGTGTATGAGCAGTGTTTTAAATCAAAAATTTTTCAATGTTTTCGGACGTTTTACTCAATATCATTAGCAACAGTAGTGTGAGAAGAAGTGAGGAAGAGTGTGAGAATTGGATCATAGGTTGTTTTTGACGGCGGTCAACTGAGACAACGGCGTGGGACGCAATGTACCGATATGTAAATAAGTTAGTATGTTTAACGAGATTGGCCTGTTCACGTTTCTCCCTGTTCACAAGTAGCTAGAAATGTAGTTATATCCGCCCCAAGTACTCTATTAAAAATACTGCCCGCGTTTCTACACGTCTTAAAAATTAGAAATGCATTTCTCTTGCAATTAAGTGTTGGTTTATAAAACAAAACTTACAAGAAATGAGACATTCTGTACATAAAGTATATACTAATTTTAAAAAAAATGTCAATGTTATGAAGAAATTAAAGGAAAAAGTTGAATAGCTTGAGCAAGATAGTCACAGAAATATAATGATTGAGATAAATATTTAAAACGTTAGACAACTAGAATCATCTTTTAATTTTAGTAAGCAATTTTCCCTCATTTGGCTCATCTAAATGATCAAAAAAGAGAAAATATATGATCTTTTGTGGCTCTTATTTGGCATCATGGAATTTTTAAGCGATATTCTGCCAATGAAGTGTCATTTTTATGTAATTTTGGGCTGACATTTGAATAGATTACTGTATGTAAAAAACGACTTGTTGTAGGGATGTATACGCACAGAGAAAACCTAATTAAGCAAACAGCTGATACGAGTGGTCATATAATCGAATAATTAAGATGTGTGAACAAAATATTATGATTTTATCTTTTATAGAGGGCTGAAATAGTGTTTATATCAGTGTGAAATCTCATATGAATGTATGCGCAGTTATATTACAATTTTATGATCAAGTCAGTACAAGAGTCTGACTTCATACCATGTCAGCAAGTATAGAAAAACTCGTTTTCTTTTAAAAATTAATCGTATAGAATTACTTTATATGCTTGCATGTTTAGACTGTTGTTTGGTATTTTAATGCGTGGTGGGTTTAAGGGTTTTTACAGGTTTATAAGGGTTTTGTTTTGATGAGAAATGGATCACCATTGATGAATGTCGCCAGCGTGTGTTGCTAAACGTCGTATAACAGGACTCCATTGTCAAACTAAGAGTAAGCAAAAGCCACAAACAATATGTTTTTGAGATAACGAAAGTTTATAAACTCATCTTTGTACGTTAATACCGTGAAAATGAAAAACTCCAGAAGCATAAAAAATCATCCCAGAAATAACATAAAAAAAACAATCTCAGAAAATAGAAAAGGTTGACTAGAAATTACACATTGAAAAAAAACCTAAAAGAATAAGGCTTTTCCAGCAAAATATACATTGTCAGCGCGCTGGCAAACCATTCATATATATATATATTACATACCTCCTATTAACGCACTTGTTCCTTGTACAAGCGAAAAGCAAATCGCGAATACCACCGGCAGAACTTTGGACTTCATCTTTTTATACGCCGAAGTCTCGGATTAAAATATCTGTTGAACAACAAAATGCTTACAATTGATTTCTAGAATTTGTGTTAATAAGTTTGTCTAGTCCTTCATATTGACTATTTTACCCAAAGGAAGTCAATGTAAAATCCTTTAAGCTATTAATTATCTGTTCTACTGCAGGTGATTTTGTGTACAGCTTATTGGCCTCTGCTGTGGCAGGTTAGCATCTGAATTGATTATCACAAAAAAAAAACTACTAAATGGGTACTCAATGCAAATTAATTCCTTTAGCATGCGTTACTCCAGTTTATTATTATTATCATTTAGTTGAAATTTTGTAGCTGGTTCATTGAGATGAAATGCCATAGCACGAACGTAAAAATGCAAGAATTTGAAGAGAAAGACGAATCAAGATTAAAAGGTAAACTTAGCCGTTAGAATAACATCATCGTTTTTGCACGACTATCAATGTTCCTTGGAAACTGTGAATTGAAAACTACTTGATGCATAATGCATTACGATGATGAMTGAACAGTGTTCAACCAAACAAGTTGAGTTTTTACTATTTTAAACGTCTCACATTCATTTCAATACTCCACATTGAGCAATGTCAATTTAGTCACGCAGCGACGCAGAGGTCTTTTTTCGCCTATGCTCAAAACATAATACAGCTTGCTTGTTCTATAATGATTGTTCATTTTAAAGATCTTCTTAAACATTCAACTCTTTGACATTCCAAAAGGTCGTCATGGCAGCAATTCCCCTTTTAAAATGACGTTTAAGGTCTATAGGATACAAGAACGTAAACTATCGAGTGTCAGCCATTTGCCATGGTGCCTACTCGGCATCTAAAGGATGCTGTCAAGTTACTGGTTGATCACTACACTGGTTTCAGGTTTCTAGAAAGAATAAATTGGCTGCTGTTTATTGAAAAAGGCAGACCTTTGATATTCTTAGGACTGTAGATATAGGGCTAGATAATGAAAATTATATGTATAAGAGAACAACTGCTTGGCGTGGTCATATATGAAACAGAAGGGGGCTGATGACGATCACAGCGTGCTAACGATGACCCATTTCCCAAACACGTATAACAAAATTATCCTAACCCGGTAGTTACCTTTTTATGTTCCATTCTTACATGTTCTAGAATATAACAAGCCACAATAACCATCTTTGCTTAGTGTGCTGCTCCTTAATTGTAAATTATTTTTGTAATACTGTCTTTTTTCTCATCTGTCTTGTTTAAAATAAAAAAGAAAAAAAAAGAAAAAAAGAAAAAGAAAAATAGGCCAAGGCTTCTTAAAGGAAACAGAGAACGATGAACTGATGGGTCGACATTTAGAAATTAAGCAAAAGTGACTAGTTTCAAAATTGTTAAAGTTCCTATTGGGTTATTCCGACGGATAAACAAATACAAAAAGACCATATGAACTGTTCAACAGTAAAAACACCGTTGACGACAGAATAATAATTTATTAATATCGTGGGGTTTTTTCATTATAACATATTCCCTTGCAATGAATAAAAGRGGAAATATRTCGTATTCTTYATCGCCAAACCTTGATTTTTATGAACAGTGACTGGCCTGAAAGTCCTATTAAAGAGGTATCAATAAACCCGACCGTCTTGCATACTGTGGTTTACAGACACTTGTAAAAATTCAAACCGTTGACATATACTATTATATCGAGTGCATGATGGGTAATGTTATGTGGTTTTTGCTCTTTTCTCGCTAAAACAGGTGGTAAGAATACATCGATAGTTTGTTTATCCAATGTTATTCAAGCATAGTTCAGGTTTTTGATAAATGAAAACTTTTCATTTCGAAATGTCAGTTATGTATTGATGCATAGTGACATATTTAGGGAATGAGGATATTACATGGGTGCGCGGAGATGCGGATTCAATCGAGTGAGCGTATAGCAAACGAGTGAGAAATTTTGAACAAAAAAAAAAGACATAAAATTCGTATCTCCAAGCGACAATGTGTATTCTTTTCATCATATAATTATCAATGATAGAAAATTATGTTAAAAAAACTCTTATTTACTTCCATAAAGATACCACGAATGTATTATTTTCACAACTTTACGTTGTGGAGAAATATAGGTATTTTATAGATAATTATATGATAAATTGATTTTTTTTAGCGGCCAGTAGAATTCTTCTGTTAATCAAATATTATGAATGGTCAATTTAATGAAATTTCCCTCATATTTATGTTAATAGAATATCATATAATTCTTAATCAAATTATAAAGGTTTCAGACTATTCAACGCTTTTTTATTGGTTGTAATCAGCACTTTTATTTGAAAGAATGAGACGCTGCAAAATTTCCAAATTAATAATTACTCCAGATATGAAACAGCTCTTGCTAAACTGAAGTTACCTTCATCTCGATTCTATTGATCACAAATCTAAAACACTCTTTAGATGATGTACATGATGTACTTATTCTAAGTGTTTTTGCGGATTATTCGTTAGTATTTTTTCCAATTTGTTCACCATTTCACCAAATTGAGAAAGTTTTAATGGGCTCTTTAATAGTGTAATTTGGCCGAACAACGATTAATAGGATTATGATTATATTTTTGCGCCTATACTGATATCCACGAAACCGAAAATAAGGGTCATTGGTCGCTCGTTTGAGGACGTACAATTCACAGTTCTATAATACGTTGACAGCCAACAAAAACTACAGGTGTGTCTAGCAAAGTACCGGAAATATACAGTGTAATGTACAGTGCACTCGACCTGGACTCCTGTGACAAACGTTTAGCAAATGTTGGGCTCCAACAGTAATTCTCTTTAATCCGATTACATGTAGAGAAATAAGCATAAATACAATTATATTTTTTTGCAGAAAAAATTGCTTTGCCAAAGAATAGAATGTACGCAACAGTTCTAGTACAGCTGGTATTCCTCCCTTATTCGCAATTAAATTGCAGAGCAATTTCTAGAGGAAAATTTGCATTCAGTTTTTCCACAGACAGAAAATGTTAAKCCCAGTTTGAATTCCCCACCAGTCCAACGAAAGCCCAAAAATTTTGAAACGTTAAAATTTGGAAAATTTCWATATTTTCTCGACATATTAATCTCTGGCGATACTATATAATTAYGCTAGTAAAACATGCTCTCATTTTGGTCAAAGTCTAATTGCACTTTGAATTTAAAGTCATTTTGTCGTTCTTGGGAATTCAGCGGTTACAACTGAATTCATGCACGGAATCCATTGCAATTGTTTGTTATAAGCACTTTTCATTTAAGCCCCACAGGAAGGTGCTGTCATTTTATTTCTACAATTCAAAAGAAWTTTTRTAATTTGATCATGTTAAAGCATTTGTGCAATTTGTTTCAAGTCTTTCGCRCCATGTCCTCAAATAAAAGATGAAAAATRAAAAGATATAAATTTTTAATGTGGTATAACATTTTACTCGTTGGAGGAAACGGTTATTGTAGACTGCTGTAGCTTATTTCGCAGCAGGCAGAGACGCGTTTCGTAACTGTTGACCATTTCATGTGTGATTATTTTACATTTGACGTTCTTCCTTAATTTGAAGAATTTCGACATCTCCGAAAGCAAATTACACTGAACTGCCTCTCTGGCCTCACAGGAGGACGTAGTTTTGTAGCCTTTTTTAATTACAATAAACATCGGTCTATAATTGTGGTGTGCGGGCAATGAAATGTTAAGTTTGAGCGTTGTTACTGTCGTACGTACAAAGTTCTAAAGTGAGGCAATAGTCCGATTGACCCGTTGCACTGAAAAATCCATTCGTTATCCACATAAAACAATGTCAAGCAGCTGTCAAACGCAAAGAATCCAATTCAGAACAACGTCTTTAATAATTACGAATATGCCGGAAACTTAGCATTGAAAAAAGCCTAACGCCTTAATTTAACAAAGACCGTCTTTAGAAAGTTGGAATACTGGACCTTTTAAGCGTTTGAGCACACGTAAGAGGATTTATGCGAGAATAAAAACATAGATTGACCATCGATATGACAGTATATCAAATACATGTTTATAAATAAGAGTATGATTCCTCTCGAATCTAAGATCCGATATCAGATAGACTTGAAAAGGTAAGAGATAAATCCAAACCCATTACTGTTCTTTTTTTACCTTAATTTACTTTCACTGACGTTCGTTCTGTACAAGCTTCAACAGATAGCATAATGAATTGTGTAATCAGCGTTCCTCATAATGAACAAACCAACACTTTCTCCAAAGGGTGTTCCTATTTACATGTATTGATGATGTCACAATTCAGAGGAATTCCTTCGCTTCTGATTGGCTGGTTGATGCCCAGGAAGCCCGCAAATGATATGAGTGCGAGACAATATGCAGTCAGAATGACTAACTGTTCTATTTTGACCGAATACTTTAGGAAGTGCTACAGCTTATGTAAGCAAACGTTCTTTGTCTGAGCTTAATTGAAATTGGTCCCTCAAACTATATATTTAGCGCCACTTAGGTTTCGACGTAGGAATTTCGTATACAAGCAATTTCAGCTTCATAAGAAAATTTTCGTTCAAATTTCATTCTTTGAAAGGCRCAAAAACAATGTTGGAAATCTATAAATARCAAGCAWTGCCGAGCTAAGATCAAGTTAGTTGATGTATTCTTTCATTGTCATTTATACTCCAATCTCAACACTAGCAGTGCATCATTTAATTTGCCCATCATGTTTGCTTAAAAATGACATCTCATATAACTCAACCAAGGCTATCTTCGACTATTAAAAAACAAAATTCTCRGGACATWAAGAGTACTACGTAGTTCTACGTCTAGAATATCCCTATTTGCAAAATTGTTTTTCATTATTCGGTTAAAGCCTAGCTATCTTTGCATGGGAACTAAAAATAGTATAAGTAAACTCAAAAAGGAAACGATTTTAGACGAGTGTCATCGAAATAAAGGGGAAAAACTCTGCGTTGGTAACACAATTGTAACAATTGAGGTACTAGGTAATTGTATTTAGGCAGCAGTAACTTTGACACAAATTGATCCATTAAAAAGGTGATGAATATTTCACCATGCACGGAAAATGATCTTTTAGGCGTTAAATTTGTTTGATAATAGAAATCTAATCTAATCAAGGTTAAAGCATGAGAGATTAGCCGAAGCCAGGCACTAGCCGAGACCTTAATCAGCTAGATTACAAAAGACGAATTCAGTAATTTGTTTTATCCTCAAATCTCATTTTTTTCCAAGCAAGATGTTTTTAAAAGAAAACAAGTTATGTTAAAAGAAAATTGTTTTTGCAAAATGCGTGGTGTAAAACTAAGGTGAAAGGATATGCTGAAAATATATACACTTCTTTGATGATGTCTGTTAATAGCAAAAATACTTTTAACTTGTCTTGCCTGAAAACCAAAGGAATAAAAACTGACAACAGCAATCGAATATAACAGTTGTTTTATTTCTCTGACCAGTATATCTAACTAGAATCTTTTTTTTGTTTTTGGATAAGCGTGGGCTCTTCTAACTGCCATTTTACAACTAAGTATTGCAATTTCCATCATTGAGTAGCATTAGTACTTATTTTAAAAGCCAACGTCCATCGACAGCCTTTTCGCCAGTTTCTTGCATAAGAAATCCGCCATCTTCGAAYCTCAACCAATCAGAAAGCAACGTCCAACAGCACGCAAAGGCTCTCGGGTGCAAGTCGACTTTTAAGCTGTATGTTTATAGAGCTGTACATCACAATATCCCAGGATACCTCGCCCTATGCATACTAGAATTCCCACCGATTTAGGAGTATATTGACAAAATATCAAAGATCTATTAAATGATTTATGTCTGAAAAGTAATAACCAAAACACATTTCTAAAATGAAATTTCTTAAAATAATCACTTGATGTCCCTAATAGAACTAATAAAAAAATCAATATCTAAACTAGAAGAATAGTTTTAGTGTAACGAATAGGTGGGCGCMAATGTTTACSTTATAGCTAATTTGCATAAAAATCAGAACTCTAATTTCAAGCCAAAAGAAAATCAAGTCCAAAAATRAAAAGAGCTCATACCTRTTAGCAATTCCTGAAAATTCGAAGGCAATTGGTTAAATATTTYAAGAKATATCAARCACCGAATTTGCAAGATTYYCTAAAGAAATGACCGTGGTTGGCATTATTTTGCCAACCACTGAATGTTTTCTATARATTTTGTAGTTTTGAAATGCCGATATCTCGAAATGAAAAAAGGTGTTCGCCCTAAAATTTTCAKGTTTTGTTAAAGGGACACTGTCAATGGATGACATGCGCAGTAACAGTCTCACCTCTAACGGACTTTGAAAGTATAACCTTCGAGGTAAATCATTTTGTGGTGCTTTTGACACACTTTGGAATATTCTAGATCTGTTAACGTTTACGATCTGATTCATGTCGCGCCAACTTGGAATCATAAACTTGAAAACACTAGCCTAGTGTTTTCAAGTTTGCTCGCGCATGTCATCCATTGACAGTGTCCCTTTAAGATTAATATAATCTTGAACATATGAGTTCAGATTGCTCAGTTATTTTTTGAATTTCATATTTTGGATGTAAACAAACTACCGTTGCATTGTACGCCCACCTATACAAATATAACATACAAGTTCCAACGATAGAAATAATAGTATTTCGAATATATATATAAAGTTTTTAAATATTAAAAACAAAAACAGTTTATCATGAAACGTTATTTATGACCGTTTACTTAATAGACGGCTAATTCTTTCTAAAATTATCATTATTTATCAAGAAAATAGTTGCATGCCATGATAAACTAAATCAAACGTTTCACTAGTGTCCGTATGGGAAAATACACTACAAAGTGTTTCTTGTTTTGCATCGAGATGAAATTAAAGGACAATHACCAACCAGCACCCAATGTTTTAGATTTTTCATCWACGGAAAATGATGTATGCTCGAATGTCTTTTCACAATGCGTTCCGTTTAAAAGGGAATCTAGCTTAAACAGAGTATCTCCATTCATAGATCATATATTAAACGAGATAATAAACAGGGAATATTCGCTTATAATTAATACAAAATACTCAAAACCTCGTAACGGATGCTGGTTGACAATTTGTCTTTATATTAGACGAATTTTTATGCTTAAATGTAGAGACCATTGTTTGGTCGTGTTTCACGAGTTTTGCATGTGGGATTACAAGTAAGCACGGTAAAGATGCGCATGCTCAAATCACACTAATCATCTATTTTCACAGAAATCATTACCCTTTTGAGATCATGATATCAAATATTGCTGTTAAGTTCCGAGATTTGCTCGTTTTTTTTTTAATCCAAAACCGCTCTCCTAATATAAAACGGAATAATTGTTTTTGTACATGTACGACTGTACGACTAGCATTGAAATTTTAATTGAAATCCATGAACAAAATGGAAAGTTTTTTTAACGCAGACACTGATTCTTTTCCCCCATATCAAGTTTGATCAAGATATGTAATCTTTATAAAAAAAACTCTGATTTGAAATAATGCGTACTTACACAAAAAAATTATTATATGGGAAACGAATTCATGAATTCACACCTATTTTTGAAGTGTCGTGAATATTATTATTCGCTATATATTCATGAAACAAACAGAAACATATCAAGAGATGCCCTAAAAACTGTGTTGTTTTCGTTCAAGCTATTTCTTTTTCCATATAAAGAATTGAACTTACACACCTTATTTGGAAATCGAATTTTTTTTTTCACCAAAACTAAGCCGATTTTCTTTTCCAGAATTGCTAATTTATAACATTGAATGGAGTGAAAACATACTAAAGTGAAGCCATCTTGCTTTTTGACCGAAAAAGGACTTGAAATCTGTAGAGGTACTGTAGGTTTTGTCACCACAGGAAGTCCAGAAAAGAAACTAATTTGATATAAAACTATGATCGAAACAAATTTAGTAAACAACAAAATGAGCTAAGGTCTACCTTAGTAGTATTAACTAGTAGTCTACTAACAATTCTCAGGTCCAGTAAGGAACGACTATAAAAAGTAAGTCGTAATTTCAATCTTATATTAACTTGCATTCCATTAAAACCTGCTCTCAATAAGTCATGCAGTTAAATGGACAACATGTCTCTGTTAATCATCTTTAATCCTGCATATGTATATGCCCTTTCTCCTAGAGACGTACGAGTTTGCGAGTCATCAGATTAGAATTCTCGCTTTTGCATCCTTCACYTTGAGTTCACGATTTTCCTTTGAGAGGCCTTTACTTTGACTAGAGATGTAAATGTTCTTCGAGAGTTGTAGCTGTAGTGCCAAGAAGGCCTGCTCGTACTCGAGGTGCTTGAATGAAAATCGCTCCAAAGGTTAACATGCTTAAGATAGTAGCAATCACTAGAATGAATCTATCAAGAACTTGAGCAGCTCTCTGCCATTCAATCGAGTTGGATTCCATCACTTCCATCTCGTTAGACAGTCGCTTTTCATCCATGCAGTCGGTCTGTTCTCGGTCGTCTAARATGTGTGATTCCCGCACATTGTTTTCACAATCATTCAACTCATTCTCTAAGTTCTCATTTTGAATCAGTTTCAGTGATTTTAACTCGCAGTTATTTGATGAGCCGTTTTTGCTCTTGCTTTTTTTTGACGACTGYTTGATTGACTTGTTCTTTATTCCAACTAACGGGCCGATGTACGAAAAGACCAATTTTCTCAAGCAATTAGGCATTTTGCTCTTTCGATAGTGAAAGTTTAGGATGATAGAGGTCGCGAACAGCGCTAGTCCAATCTCGGCTATAGCACTTGAGTAATATTGAGCTGAAAATAATGTAAAAAAAGGATTTATTATAATTTGCTGAGACTTAAGCAACATTTTCCATACGCCGTTCCAATTTTGTTCGCACTTTTGTTAAAGCTATTTATGGGTCTCAACCACGTGATCAAAACTCATCTGACAAGAAGCTGAGTAAAGGTATGGCCGCGATGTTAAATAAATGAACACGAGAAGTTAATGATAAATAATGTCCTTCATGATTCCCTGTGCTACCTTGAAAAGTAGCTAAGCCTTCGAAACGAGACGCCCGTTCAGCTTATCATCATTGCACGCTCAACGGCTGTCGTCTCGCACGCCTAATTTCAAGATGACGGAGTGAACCGCGAAACAAACTATTCTTTGTTATTTCCAACCAAAATGGCGGCGATGACGTAACATGCGACCCCGAGAATAGCACCCTGCGGAAAGTCAATAATTTTAAGTGCATTCTTTTCAGTCTAGAATTCAAAATTCTCC